ATGGCACATGTCAGGCACTTGTTTAGTGTTCTGCCCACTAAATCACAGAGGAGAACACCCAGGCTACAGCAGTGCCTGTAGTTCTGCTCCTTCCCTCCTTTATTCCCTCCCTTCCTTACTTTTGATTGCCATATCTTACATGTTTTTAATTGCCCATGAGCTTAATTATCTCCACCTGCAAATCTGGACATAGGCTATGTTAAAGGAAATATTGTGTCCCTGGTGGCACAATGGTTAATGCACTCAGCTACTTATCAAAAGATTGGTGGTTTGAACCCACCAGCTGCTCTGTGGGAGAAATATGTGGTCTTTCTGTAAAGAAGTCTGCTTCTGTAAAGATTTACAACCTTGGAAACCCAATGGGGCAGTCTACTCTGTACTATAGGGTCACTGTGAGTCAGAATAAACTCCAGGGCAATGGTTTTGGCAGTGGGTGTGTCTTGGCTAAAGAAGAAGTCCAACCACCTGTGCTGCTTCAAGCACACTTGTAGTGCTGTGTACAGTTCTGAGAATGTTGTTACCTACCTTGCGTTCACTCCAACTCATGGTGACCTCATGTACAACACAATAAAACACTACCTGGTTCTGTATCAGTAGCTCTGGTGGTGCAGTGGTTAAGCCTTTGGGCTGCTTACCAAAAGGTTGGTGTTTCAAAACCACCACCTGCTCAGTAGGAGAAAGATGAGGCAGTCTGCTCCCATAAAGCAAGTAAAACTGATCCCTCTTGCTGACACATCCAAAGCAGGCGAGTCAGACAATGTTCTATAATGATCCATCAGGTTTTCTGTGGCTAATTGTCAGAAATAGATGACCAGATTCAGTCTGTCTTTGTGTGGAAGGTCTGCTGAAACCTGTCCACTATGGGTGACCCTGCTGTATTTGAAATACCACTCGCCTAGCTTCCAGCTACACAGCAACACACAAGTCACCACAGTGTGACAATCTGACAGACGGGTGGTGTAATTCTGAGAATAACAGTCTTTAAAGGAGACATTACAAATAATGAAGCATCAATTGGAGTATGCTGTAGGATTTTAAAGGTTCTTGAAATATTTATTCTAAGAATTGAGACCTGGGGAACAGGATAGATAACCTTCAAGGGTTTGTAGTTCCAGCAAGAAGAAGGAAGTGGGTAGCAGGCTGGTGGGAGGAACATAATAGCAGAGGGGTTGGGAGCATGTGCTTGGCAGTCAGACCTCATCTAGTCTGGCTGTGCTATTCTCTCTCTGAGGAACCTGAGAAAGGCCCTTAACCACCTGCAACATAGGGATTGGAATAGTGCTTTCCTCAAAGAATGTTAACAGAATGCCTGTGACAGAGCTCAGGGAATATTAGCTACTTGGATTGGCCAGGACTTCTAATAGTTTGAGCTGTGCCACAAGAGACTCCATTGTCTTGGAAAGTAGTCATCCCTTTCCCCTCCACAGTGCCATATGGAGGCTCATTAGCCATCTTCCCTGTGATTGGCAGTACAGGGTCCCCTGACTTCTGAGGATCCTTCTGACCTCAGTGCTGAGATTGGTTGCAGCTGAGCCAGGCCAGGTACCTTAAACTTTGTTCATTGCATGAAATCAGCATCATAATTACATTTATTGAGTGCTCACACTGCAGAGAGTGAAGTGTAGGAAAAGGAATATGCAGTCAGCTTTGGGAAGTTGGGAGGAGGGAGGATCTGTCACGCACTCTGCCAAGAGTCCCCATGTAATAGGCTCAACTTAGAGCCCCAGGACAGTTGGAAGCCCAGAGGCAGTCTTCCACTCATGTTGGCCCACTCACCTGTGCCCAAAGCCTCCACCACTTGCCCTGGTCCTTACCCTCCAGCCTCTGCACAGTGGTAACCTCAGGCACTTCTTCACCAGCTCTCCTTCCACTTTTATCTGTCAGATATCTCAGGCAGAATGTCAAACCAAGGAAGATGAAGAACCTACCTGGGGATGATCTCCATTTCATAGGATGACTCAAATATTTGAAATTTTGTTTAAATATCTTCTTTGGATTATTTTTTGAGGAGGAAAGAGACTGCTATCGAGTCAATTCTGACTCATAGCAACCCCCATTGGGTTTTTAAAGCTGTAAAGAGGTAGATTGCGTCATCTTCCTCCCGTGGAGCAGCTGGTATGGTTTGAACCACTGACCTTCTGGTTAGCAGTCAAATGTCTCACCCACTATGCCACCACAGCTCCTTGTAAGGAGGGAAAGGTCACACCTCAGAAAGAAATGACTCAATCACTCTTGTCCACAGAGCTCTGGTTACTAGATACTATGCAGAGTTGGGAATCAGAGTCTAGTGAGGATTGAGAGCCAGACTGCTTGGGTTTGAAATCTGTTCCCATCACTTGTTAGTTGATTATAAGCAAGTGACTTAACTTCTTTAAGCTTCAGCTTTCTCATCTATAAAATGGGGAGGATAAAAGGACCTATCTCATTTAGTTTTCAGGATTAAATGAATTGACATGCATAAAGAACCTTAGCATGCTAAATGTTAAGTTCATGTGGTAAGTGCCTAGTAAGTGGTAGCTGCCATTACTACTGCCGCTGCTATTATTATTGTTATTCTTGAATTTGTGGTGGGAAGATCATTTTTCTTCTGTGAGCCTCATTTTCCTTGTCTGTAATATGTCTGTTATAAGGAACCTTGCCTCTTCTAAGATTGTGCGTTGCTTCCACTTATTCACTGCAGTCCTTTTACCTGTGCTGCCTCCAGGACCAGGTGGAAGCTTGCTCCAGGAGATGGAACAGGAAGAGGGTGGTTGTGGGAATCAGAAAAAAACCTTCAGGATAATGGCCTTAGGGAGAAAATGACAGAGAAGCCCAAAATAACATTGCACAGTGACTTTTTTGAGACCTGCTCCCCACCCCACCTCCTTTCCTAGTAGAATCAGGGTCTGGACACCTGGGCTTCTCCTGCCACTCACGCCAAAGCATAACAAGTGCTTATGCATATTGCCACCTAGACATGAATTGACTTTGCTCCCAATTTCATCTGATTAATCAAAGCTGATGAATGAGCAGACCATCCTGGTGTAGAAGAATAAACATGATTATAGAATCAGACAACATGTCTCATGCTATAGTTCTAGAACCTTCAGCATGTTATTGAACCTTCTAAACCTTATTTTCCTCATATGAAAAATGGTATAGTAATATCTATCAAGTCTACCTCCCAAAGTTGCCCTGAAGATGAAAAACATATAATGCAAGTGAAAACATTTGCTAAGATTTACTGAGCTCTAGACAGTGTGAAAACAGTGTCCTGGTGGTGCAGTGGTTAAGCACTTGGCTGCTAACCAGAGGTCAATTATTCAAACCCTCCAGCTGCTTTGCTGGAGAAATTTGTGACAGCCTACGTCATAAAGATTACAGCCTTGGAAATGCTATGGGGCACTTATATTCTGTTGTATAGGATCACTATAGAATTGCTATGAGTCAGAGTCATGGATTTGGATTTTTTTTTTTTTTTTTTTTTTTTAAGACAATATGAACAAGTAGAGCACAATGGGAAGAGAGATTGGGTGGGTGCCCAGTTCTGGCTGACTACAGATGCTGACTAACTGCAGGGAGGTCCTTAGAGCCTCAGTTGGCACTTCTGTGGAATGTAATCCCAGTGCCCACCCAGGACATCCTATATGGATGTTTCAGTGGGGGTGACTGGCATGATATGGTAATTAGTGCCCACAGTCTGACTTCTATTGAAATCTTTATCACTTTTTGTTTTTTGTAGTCATCGAGTAAAGACATATTTTTAAAAAAGTCTAAGTAACATTACTTAAACACATGATTTAGAATTATTTAGGAACAAACAATGAGATTATAAGCGTAAAACTGCCGCCTTTATTTCTTGCAAATTAAATGTTATGATTTAAATCATTTCCCTCAATCATCAGTGACCAGGTGGGACCCTGCCATGTGCACTCTGGGCAATGTTTTATGGAGCAATGAGTGGCTGAGAAAACTGGCTGAAAGGATGGGAAGAACAGTCAGGAGCTGGGATGAAACTATAATTGGCCCCAGAATAATCAATCAGGATTTGGCTACAGGAATCTCTATGTTGACAGAACAGTCTCTGTTATGAGATTACATTCTGTTCCAAAATAAAAATAATAGTATATATTGTATTGGGAGCTCTGGTGGCGTGGTGCCTAAGGCACTTGACTGCAAACCAGAAGGTTGGTTCAAACCCACCAGCCACTCCTCAGAAGGAAGGTTGGGTAATCTACTTCCATAGTAATACAGTGAAACCCAAGGAGGGGTCGCTATGAGTTGGAGATGACTCGATGGCACATAACAACAACAACAACATATTGTTATTATTGGAGCTCTGGTGGCACAGTGCCAAAGGTTGGCAGTTTATACCATCTAGCCACTCTGTGGAAGGAAGATGGGACAATCTAGTTCCATAAAGATTTACTGCCCTGGAAACCCAGTGGGGGTTGCTATGAGTCAGAATTGACTTGATGCAGTGGTTGTTGTTATGTACCATCGAGTCAGACCCAACACATAGTGACTCCTCCTTGGATTTCCGAGGCAGTATCACTATGGAAGTAGATTGCCCCATCTTCCTTCCGAGGAGTGGCTGGTGGGTTTGAACCGCCAGCCTTCTGGTTAGCAGTCAAGTGCCTTAGGCACTATGCTACCAGAGCTCCCTGATGCAGTGGTTAGGTGGGTTGTTATCATTACGCTTGCTTTTTATGGTATACAAAGTATTTTCACTCACCTCTCTGTCCTCACAACAATCTCGGGAAGTGGATTTTCTGGCCAGATTATATGGATGAGAAACTGAGCCTGGAGAGAAGTGCACACAGCTATTCAGTGGTTGAGCTGGAATTCAAACTCAAGGCTTCTGAATCTAAGATCATGTCTTGCTGAACTGTGTCACATCAGACCACTAGGAATTTGGAAGCATTTTCAGACAGTAAAGGTTTAAGCACTGACTGAATTGTTGCTGTGAAGGTTAGTTTTCATGGACTTGCAGATCAAATGTCTGACCTTTACATTTACAGGAAATATAAGCAAAAATTGCACAAGTGAAGGCTGGTCTGAGATGTTCCCAGATTTCATAAATGCATGTGGCTATAATGACCTTGAGGATGAAAACAAGGTAAGAGCTTTGCTGGGTGGTATCTCACATTATATCTTTTATCTTTTTCATTAAGGGGTCTGAAACTCCATGTTAAATAGTGTCTATTTCCTGACCTAAAAGAATTATTTATATGCTCTTTCCTCTGAGTAACAATGCTACTTCTTATTGATTGTATTAAGCAAAATCCCCCTTTCAGTTCTGTTGCCTGACATTTGAAATTCTTTGCCAGTGTCCTAATGTTTAAGGAGGGGAAAGACTCATTCTCCGCCCACTATCAGCATTTACTGAAGGTTAGTTATGAAGAGATGCTTGGACAGTGAGATCTCTTCTGCTTGAAATGAGCTTAGCTTTTTTGATTGCATCCTGAGAGGTGTACTCTGTCTGCCACCTGCTTCCTTGGCTCCTTTAGGATTTTGCCACAAGATAAACTGCTGAGAAGCTATCCTATTAGTTCTCTTAGCCCTAAACCAGCAACTGAACCTAAGGGAAAGCATTCTTTTGCAAACTAAGAAACTCACTTCCTTCCTGGTTGATAGGTATCTGGGGAGTAAGCTAGCTGCTAGCAATTTATCTCAAATCTTTGTTGGTGATTCAGCCAGTGATAAGCTTCCCCCTTGTCAGAGCTACATTAATTTGCTAGCATGGTTTTCAAGGAGGCACGTAGGTGTCATATTCTCGGTAAACCTTTTTGCCAGTAATGTGGTTATTAAGTAACTGAGAATGTTTTTCCTAAACACTGAATTTTTCAGACTTCAACTCTGGTAAAAGTCTCTGCTCAAGAATTCTGACTGTATAAACAAACTTTCTCAATGCTAACACTTGGGTTGCTGTCTTTCCTGCACTCTTACCCTGGAAGATGGACAGATTATGGTTTGTTTTGTTTATCACCACAAAATGGATCATTGCCTCCTTCCTTAGGAGGTACAGGTCAGCCCTTGGTCTTTTTCATTTACCTCATCGTTCTGTCGTGTGTAGGCAAGCGCTTTGTAAACCTGACATCAGAGGTGTGTATTTAAGTACACACTTTTCCTTCTTACATTTAACACAGGATAAAGTATCGGTGGGGCAGTGGTGGTTCAGTGGTAGAATTCTTGCTTTCTATGAAGGATTCCCAGGTTTGATTCCTAGCCTTGCACATGTCACCACCTGTCTGTCACTAGAGGCTTGTGTTGCTGTGATGCTGAAGAGGTTTCAGTGAAACTTCCAGTCTAAGACAGACTAGGTAGCAAAACCCCCAAAAAACCCACTGCTATTTGAGTCGATTCTGACTCATAGTGACTCCCGTTGGGTTTCTAAAACAGTAAAAGTTTCATAGGTAGATTGCCCCATCTTCCTTCCATGGAGTGGCTGGTAGGTTTGATCTGCCAACCTTTTGGTTAGCAGGAAAATGCCTTCGGCACTGTGCCAAAGTTTCTTAGGTAGGCAAAAAGGCCTGCCAAATGGCTTCCAAAATCAGCCAGTCAGAATCCTGTGGATCACAACAGTCTGATCCACAACTGATCGTGGGGATGGTACAGGACTGGGCAATATTTTGTTCTATTGTGCATGGGGTCATCATGATTCAAGGGCCAACTCAATGGCAGCTAACAACAATAAGATATCAGTAGGAATCTTTGGGTGGTGCAAAGGATTAACATGCTCTGGTGCTAACTGAAAGGTTGACAGTTCAAGACCACCCAGAGGTACCTTGGAAGAAGACTTGGAGATCTTCTTTTAAAAAATCAGGTATTGAAGACCCTGTGGAGCATAATTCTACTCTGAGACACATGGGATTGCCATGAATCAGAACTGACTCTACAGTAACTTGTAAGGTTTCAGTTATATAGGTATACACATGAGGTTGTATTTATACACATACAGATTTTTTTTGGAAACACACAAAATGTTCAATAAAATTATCTGTCTGTACAGCTAATCTTTCCCTGTTCTTTTCACACTCACCCTATTTGTGTGTTTTTCCCCACTTCTCACTATAGTGTCTTTTCTCTCTCTCAGCATTCTTGGTTCCATCTACTATCTCTGGCACTCTGTGAAATCTGTAGCAATATTTATGTCAGACTGTTTTTCCAGAGTAATGAACAAATCTTCTCTCATGCTTCATTCTTATAGAGCGACTTTATTTTATTCACTGAGTTACATTCTGAAGCCAGTTCTTTTCCCATTGCAAGGAATTACATTACAGTAAGAAGTCAGGCCTAGGCCTTTTTTTATTGATACTTTCAAGCCAGACCAATACCTGAAGCTACTGAGTGGGGTTGACCAGACCAAGAGGGACTACTTGGGATTCCAATGCTGACTAAGCTTCGGGAGGCATGATATAATCTATCATGGCCTTGTGGTGAGGGCGATAAAAACCTTGAGTCTTGAGGGTCAAATGGAGCTTCCTGTTGACGGACATACACAGGAGAGGGTACTACTGCATCTGTCTTTGGGGCACAGAAGATCTGTGCTGTGACCTCTCCCAGATCTCAATTACGTGTCTCTTTGTTTGTTTGTTAATATGATATACTCTCTGTGAGATTCTGGGCATTATTCCAGAAAATTCACAAACTCACAGGGGCAGTTCGAGCCAGCAGGGTCTGGCATCTATTTGGTCTGAAAGAAGGTATTCTTCTAATGTGTGAGCTCTGACCTAGCCCTAGGTAACCAGGGCTAAAAGATGGTATCTGTTTACCTTGTGAGCCCCAATCCAGCTCTGGGTGGCAAGTTGGATCCTACTCATAGCGACCCCTCCTTGGGTTTCCAAGGCAGTACCACTGCAGAAGTAGATTGCCCCATCTTCCTTCCAAGGAGTGGTTGGTGGGTTTGAACCTCCAGCCTTCTGGTTAGCAGTCAAATGCCTTAGGCACTACACTACCAGAGCTCCCAGGGTGAGAGAGAATATGCCAATTTGCACCCAAATCACAATAACAAATTTTAAAGAAAAGAAAAAGAATATGCTACATGAGCAGCTAGCAACAAGGATGGAGAAGTAGGATGGTGAGAACTGGATCTGTTCTCACATTGTAGGGATTCCATTCATACTGATCTTTACCACATAGTCAGCAACAAAAGTAGGATTTTCCCACCTTGCCCCTGGCTTTAGCGCACTCATCAAATCATTAAACCTTAGAAAAGGAAATAACTTAGATTTTGGGCAATATCCCACTAATTGGAATGTAATACTCCTGACCTGTGGCCCATAATTAATAATGATGATGGTGGTGGTGATATGGTAGCTGACATTATTGAAGGCTCAAACCAAAACAAACCAAACTCACTGCCACTGAGTTGATTCAAGTCACAGTGACCCCTTCTGGGGTTTCTGAGGCAGTATCTCTGTGGAAGTAGATTGCCCAGTCTTCCTTCCAAGGAGTAGTTCGTGGATTGGAACTGCCAGCCTTCTGGTTAGCAGTCAGATGCCTTAGGCACTATGCCACCAGAGCTCCCATTGAAGGCTTACTATGTGCCAGATTCTATTACTAATATTACCTCATTTAATCCTGATTAACAACCCATCTTTCAGATGGAGAAGCTGAGGTTTAGAGAAATTAAGCAACCTACTCTTGGTCCCCCAAGTAGCTGGTAAGTAGAGAACCATGACTGGAACCCTTATCTTTTTGACTCTAAACCATAGACTCTGAATTGTTGAGCTTGTCTACCCATTACCAGGCATTTACTTTGACTCTTTCCACTGGACTGGGGAGTTTTCAGTGAGGCAACTCCCTAGCTTCACCCCACCCCTTGTCGCTGGCTTAGGTTGAACGTATAAGCAGTAGACATTGAATATGCCCATGTAATCAGCCTGGATTTGGGACCTCACACCTATACCCTGCCAATAAACCAGTCTATTCCAACTCATGACAATCTCATGTGTGTCACAGTAGAACTGTGCACTATAGGGATTTCTATGGCTGTGACATTTCAAAAGTAGATTGTCAGGCCTTTCTTGCAGAGTGCCTCTAGGTAGAGTTGAACTGCCAGCTTTTTGGTTAGCACAAAAGTATGCTAACTCTTCTCTGAAGAATACAGAGATTTAATTCTCATACCCTTCAGGTGGTTATGCCATGTGACAGTCTAGTAGAGTCAAGAGAAAACATAAGTGAATGTCAGCAGACTTGGGTTCCAGACATAGCTCTATAATGCTCTTGTGGAAGAGATGATCAGTGCTAATTTCCATACCTTTCAGTGAAGACTGTCAGTGGAAACACAATGGTTAGCCTCTCAGCTATGGAGACATAAGAATGGTTAAAACCTCCCTTGTCAAATAAATTGTGTCCTACTGGTAGCTTGGTTCTATTGTGTGTAATAGAATACACAGGACAACTGACAGCTATTCTGGACCTCTGTAGGAAAGGGAGTTTCTTGGTAAGTCATGGTGATGTGTATAAAGGAAAGGTCTTATTAAATATTTCTGGAACCAGCTTCCCCCCTTGTTCCATTCTCTGTTCTATTTCTGTTGTACATAATTACCAGCATTAGCTTTTCTATGTCAAATGTACCTAACATTCTCCTCAGCAGCTCAGTCACCCTTTGATTATAAATGAAGTGCTTAGGGTGGCATGTTCGTTCTCCTAGGTCATCGGAAGAGTGACTTTAGATTCTAAGTGAGGGGGCCATTTTGTGCCACGGTGATTAGCAGATCTGTACTTGAAATTTAGCACTTGGAATTTTCTGCTGCTAAATTCCAGCCCATATATCCCAGCCAGCATGGAGCAGTTACCTTACTGCATTACCCAGGCTTACCAATCAGACACGCTAAGTCCAGGAGAACAGCTTCCATGACTTCATTAAAATTTTAGCAGGGTTTGGAATTTAATGCATCAGATATGTCATATAAAATCCCTTCTCTTTTGCTTTCAGTCCTCTACTTCCTTTAAGGCTTAACTAGAAGCTTACAGTGTTCACAAAGGCTTCCTGCCCCCTTTCCTTCATCACTAAATTCTGATTATAGCTATTTTTATCCTACTTATTTTGAAATTTAATCATAGCCTGTTTTGTCACATTAATTAGAGGTTATCTTCAAGTTTATCCCAAAT